TCAATGGGCTCCAGGTTTGGAGAGATGCTATTTCTGAAATAAGGCAAAGAATAACGGATGAAGCAGTTGCATCTCTGACCACATACATGAACACGTGGACAGCTGCACCCACAGAGACAAAAAGTCCCAAGTCCCAGTGGAAATACTTTAAGCATAGTACACACAGTCTTGGTTCGTGTGTTGTGTGTTCGTGTGTGTGTGTGTGTGTGTGTGTGTGTGTGTGTGTGTGTGTGTGTGTGTATCGCACTCGTGGGAAATACAGCACAAGCCTTTTGCAACCAAATAAGACTCTACCACATAGATAGATGCGCAGCCCCCTAGCATCTTTTTTTGTTTTGGTGTTTTTCTTTTGTTAGTAATTCGTTTATTTTTATTTTATGTGCACTGGTGTTTTGCCTGCGTGTATGTTTGTGTGAGGGTGTCAGATCTTGAAGTTACAGTCGTGGGCTGCCACATGGGTGAATCTGGGTCCTCTGGGAACAGCCAGAGCTCTTAACTGCTGAACCGTCTCTCCAGTGCCATTTTTTGTTTTTCGAGACAGGGTTTTTCTGTGTAATTGCCCTGTCCTGGAACTTACTCTGTAGATCAGGCTGAGGTCAAACTCACAGAGATCCACCTGCCTCTGTCTCCCAAATGCTGGGATTAAAGGGGTGCGCCACCAACGCCCAGCTCACATCTTTTTCTTGCAACACTTTTAAAATATAAAATATAAAAAGGTCCAGGTTCGGGGCTGGAGAGATGGCTCAGACAACTCATGAGGGTTAAAAACACAGGCACAGGCTGCTGAGTTGTATCTAATGGTTCTCATTCCTATTCATAGTGGTGAAGAACGCTGGCCCCAGAGGTCTTCTGCCTTTCCCTACTTACGCACACATGATATAAAAGTGCTTATTGAGGGCTGGAGAGATGGCTCAGAGGTTAAGAGCACTGACTGCTCTTCCAGAGGTCCTGAGTTCAATTCCCAGCAACCACATGGTGGCTCACAACCATCTGTAATGAGATCTGGCGCCCTCTTCTGGGGGGAGGAGGTAAATGGGGGCAGAATGTTGTATACACAATAAATAAAATCTTTAAAAAAAAAAAAAAAGGACCCAGGTTCAATTCCCAGCACCCACATGGCAGTTCACAACTGTCTGTAACTCCAGTTCCAGGGGATCTGACACTCCTATACAGACACACATGCAGGCAAAACCCCAGCGTATGTTAAATAAATAGATCTTTTAAAAAACATATAAAAGTGGGACCACAGAGATGGCTCAATTGGTAAAACACCAGTCCAATTCCTAGGACCAGCATGGCAGAAGGAGAGAGAATCAACTCCCACCTGATGCCCTCTGATCTCCACTATATGGGTTCCAGGTTATCGGACTCAGGTTGTCAGTCTTGGTGGCACCTGCTGAGCCATCTACCTACCCAGCCCAAGATTTTGGGGGAAAGAGTAAAGTCAAGTGAACCTCCTTGGTCATTTTCTTCCCCTTATTCCCTGTATTGTTTCCTTATGGCTTTACTTTTTAGTCCCCTTGTTTGCTGTGTCCCCAAACAGGGCAGTCGGCTGCACTGGGCCTCTTGATCTCAGTGGACTGGGCCAGCTCCCAGCTCTGAACAGGGCCTGATGATACAGCACTTGCTTGGTGCACATTTGCTGACCAGAGAATAGGCAAATCACTTTTTTGTTTTGTTCTGTTTCTAAAAGAGGCTCTGTCTATGTAGCCCTGGCTGTCCTGGAGCTTTCTTTTTTTTTCCTTAGATAGGGTCTCATGCAGTCCAAACTCCTTATGTGGCCAGGGTCTTGAGCTGACTGGATCATCTTTGCCTCAATCCTGGCAGTGCTGGAATCACGAGCTGGTGCCATCATACCTGGCAACAGGCCACTCTTTATAAGAAAATGTGGAGCTGGATGAAGCCCCAGCTGCCTGTGATCTCAGCACCTGAGAGGCCAAGGCAGGAGGGCTTCTGGTTCAAGGCCCTCCTGGGCTACATGCTCAGAACAAAAAAACTAAAGGGCCGCTGGGGAGATGGCTCAGTGATGAAGAGAACTTACTGCTCTTGCCAGCGAGATTCAGTTTGGTTCCTAGCATCCTGGAACCAGTTCACAGCGCATCTGTAAATCCAGTTGGAGGGGCTCTGATGCCCTCTTCTGGCCTCTGCCGGCACAAGGCACACATGCAATACATGCCGATAAACGCAGACAAAACATTCATATACAGAAAAATAAATAAATAAATGCAAGAAAGGGAAACGCAGGGGGGTAAAAAAAAATAAACGAAGAAAGGGCCCAACGAGATGGCTCAGCAGGCTGTCCTCTAATTCC